AATCTTTACTTTTAAGTGATTACCAGTACATTAAGTAATAACAAATAGCAAGTTCCTGCTTCTATTAACTAGTAATTTCTACTAAGAGTCACTAAAAGCAGCCCCAACAACTAGACTAGTACAGATATCCCCCGCTTTTCCAAAGTTCACTGTATGCCACTTTTATCAAAGACCTACTTTAATACCTGTTTTCATTAACCAAAATAAATCTGAAGAGCATTTTCACTTTCATGAAAAAAGGTGAAAGGCAAGACTAGCCTCAATGTTGAGAAGAGGCAGCAGGCACCCCAGGCGGCAAGAGTGCTGCCATCAAGTTCCTCCCCCAGAAACTACACTCAGCATCAAGCTGCCATAGCTTTGAACTGTGTGAACACTATTATGTTAGTGTCAGGTTTCATGGGAATGCTCTAGTTTCAGATAGCAGAAGAAACCTGTATTTGTTGTTTTAACCCTTAAACAAAAAGGATTATTTTAAAGCTGGCTGCTGTTCACGCAGTTACAAAATAATCTATTTACTACTTTTTCATCGACAAAGCCCCTGACCTTCAAGAAAGCTTTAGGGAAACAAAATATTTAACCCATTTCTTTCTTTAAAGAATATATATATATATATATATATTTAAAACTAGGTACCTAAGACAGAAAAGTCATATTGCTATATATGTTGCTTCAGCTAAAAACATAGGAAAACACTGTATACTCATTCAATTTGTAAGAAATATGTGGTAAAAAGATGAAATCTTTGGATGAGCTCTAAGTCTACACAAAGTACTAGGTTTGCTACTCTCCAAAAGTGAAGGAACCTACTACATAATATACAGAAATAATTTAATGCCTTCTCACAAGAAAAAAACTCTAGCTTTGCTAAAGCTTCTTATTCCATGTGAGAGCATCTAAAATGCTCACCCATGGAACAGGTGCTTCCTTCTTCCCTATCCATTTGTGTGGTAGTTTTCATGGATTTCTGGCCGGATGTCACAGACAAAGGTCAAGAGGTTATCCAGGACGTCATCCCTGTTCTGCCGGAAGTAGGTCTGGAGGATAGTCATCTTCTCCTGGGTCTCCTTTTCCACCTCCGTGCTGCAACTGCCGTGGGATCCAAGGGCCACAGCCTCCTTGGCCTTGAACTCCTTCTCCCTCTGCAGGCGGTACTGTTCAATTTCGGCCTGAGCTTCTTCTTTGGCCTGCTTCAGCCTCCGGTTCTTTCGTTTGCGGGCCTCAGACACCTTCTCAGCGGCACGCTTCTCCACTTGCAGCAGTTGCTGGGTACCTT